GCTTGTTCCTACTGTCCGTCAACGTGTTAAGAATCTTCATCAGCACAAGTCGAATGCGAATCAAATGGATTGAATATAATGAATTGGCGCGGTTTTGTTCAGAACTAAGCCAAGGTTGACTTGTACATACATTAAAAAACATTTTTTTTTCCTTCTCGTTACGTCACAGACGCTAACGTAACAGTGTGTTCTACTTTTTTAGTGGTATGGTTGGTGAGCAGGCACAGACGTTTTGCATACAGTTATATGATTTTATGTGCCTAAATATCATTACATAGTATAAAACAAAGTCGCTGTCGCTGTCTGTCCGTCTCTATGTATGCTTAAATCTTTAAAACTATGCAACGGATTTTGAAGCGGTTTTTTAATAGATAGAGTGATTCTAGATAACGACCTCGGTGGTATAGTGGCCTAGCACACCGCTTTACGTTCGACGATCGCGGGTTTGATTCCTCGCAAGGCACAAACATTTGTATTCATAAGTATGATTGTTCGTATCGGTCTGGGTGTTTTCTATGTATAATATGTATGTATTTACGAAAAAAAACATATCCATGTATTTGTATCAGTTGTCTAGTACCCATAACACAAGCTTTAGCTAGTTTAACTTGGGTCTAGATGGCGCTGTGTGAATTGTCCTGAGATTATTATTATTATTAAGAGGAAGGTTTATATGTATAATACATGTACACCCATACGAACCGGAACCGGGGGCGAGTAGCTAGTGTTTTATAAAATTCGTTTGCGTGTGTACCTCAGTGTAGCCTGCTTCAGCTTTGTAAGATTTATCTTCTTATATATAAAATTCTCGTGTCACAAATTTTAAAATCACTAGTATCCTGACGACTTAGGCGTAATGCCGGTTAGTCAGGGAGAGAAACACCTCAATGCCTACAATATTCGCAATTATCTATCTCTTATTTGTTTTTATAATAATATCAACACTTTCGCTCCAAAAACTCCCGCTGCCTCCGTTCAATCGTCCGTCATCCACTTGTCAATGTCACATAGATTACTTTGGCTCTGGCCTCTGACGTTCCGTTTCAGGTTACATGATTATTGGCTTTACCATTTTTAATTAATGGTGCGTCACACGATAGTTAACACAAAGATTACTTGAATGACGAGCGTGCATGGCAATAGGTGTTCATGTACGGGATTTTCATTTAATGTTAGACATAGACACCTATATAAATATACATTGTAAATATAAACCAATTGAGTTTCTTGCCAGTCCTTCTCAATTGGATCTATATACCGAACTGGACGGTAGGGAAAAAAATATATAATGTAAAAACTTTACGTTCCTAAACGGCTAAATTGGCCTACATGAATAAATGATTTTTTAATTTTGATTATTAAAAAAAAAAGATACTTCGCATACCCCTCCGAAACGGTTTGACCGACTTTTATGAAATTGTACATACACATTCAGTAAGCTTTTTTTTCGGACTACTCTAATGCTGTTGGCCGCAGCTGGCCTTTACAGCTTCACCGGACGATTCAGTAGGTCTGAAAATCGGTTACTATCTTCATAACCCCGAATGATAAGGTTTGTTCTCCCCTAACATTTCTCTTTATAATTTGTTCACCCTTCTATCACCAACCCCTATTTTTAATAGCGATATTCGTTCTTCAATTTATACGGCAAACGTTTGACGGGACAGCTAGTAATATTAAATATTTAATTTTCGCAAGAAAAAGTAGTCTGTGAACGATCAATGTGTCAAAATTGATCATAGACTGAAAAAAGATAACAATAAACACAGATCAACACTGACATGTCATTAAAAATCATTTATGGCACAAAAGATTTTTAATAAATTACCACCGGACTTGAGGAAAATGCCCTTAAATAAATTAAAAAACACCCTCATACTCCTCATTACTTAAAAAGGAACTTTCAGTTCCATTCTAAACACCCGGGTTCTGAATTACGCAGCACAAGAAGCCTCTGTCTTACCTTCCCACCTCATTCTTCTAAATATTACGCTGATTCTTTTACTGTACAAGCTATTCGTCTCTGGAACTCCTTACCACTTCCCATTCGATCAGCACAATCATATGCCATTTTTCAAAAATTATTAAAATCGCATTATCTATCCCTGTAATAGAATAATAACACGTCCTCTCGTCCATTATTATGTAGTATATGTATGTATATTGTATGTATTGGTGTGTAAGTTTATTTATTTATGTTTATAAAATGTATGTTTATCTATAATTGTATAATAAATACAGTGTTTAGTGCGCCTCCTACCTTCTCTCTTTATGTAAATACTCTCTGTTAGCACCGGGTTGTCTGTAAGAGATTGCTGATAGCGATAAGACCGCCTTTTGTAAAACATTTATTTTCATTGTTTTATATCTGTCCTATGTTTATGTATGCGCAATAAAGAGTTATTATTATTATTAAAAACCTAAAGGGACCCCTTTTAATAATATATTTTAGTCATCATATTATATATTTTTTTAAGCTTTTTAATTTTAGGTTCTTAGTTGTACAATTAGGTTATGTAAAAATCGATTATATTACTGGTTACTGGACAAGTGTTTTTATGACATCAAAGAATATTTATATGATGAATGTTGACTCTTTTTTTTATTACTATTAATATATAATTAGAATGGTACATAAGACATTAATTTTAAATTATAATATTATAGATTATTCCATTTTAATATACCCAAAATTTGCATGCCCGTAAATTGGGGCAATTAAACAGTTGCCAATAATATTATTACCTAGACATATTACTGAATATCTAACTGTATAATACGCAAATAAATAAAATTCATTTCATTTAAAAAAAAAAAACTCCAGTTCTGCTGATCCAATTTTAAAAATTCTTTCACTATAAGAATAATATTATTAGGAGCTACTACAGTACATAAAGAGGTAAAGTTTGTCTGGTCAAACTCCAGTTCTGCTGATCCAGTTTAAAAAATTATTAATATAAATAATCTATACATATAAATAAAATTGGAGTGTCTGTTTGTAATATTGAAACAATCGTTTTTTACTACATGCATATGAATATAAATACGGTACATACACTAAAATAACATTTTTTTACAATTTTTGTCTGTCTGTCTGTTTTTTCCGGCTAATCTCTAAAATGGCTGGACGGATTTTGACGGGACTTTTATTGGCAGGTAGCTGATGTAATAAGGAGCAACTTAGGCTACTTTTATTTTAGAAAAATTTAAGTTAAATTCCACGCGAAGTCACGGGAATATCTTATATATATATTAGCTGTTCCCGCTATAATTGTATATAATATATAATTAAGAGTAAATAACCTACAGAGTAGGTATGTTTCAATTCGACTACAAAAAGATCTATTGCTCTGACATTATACAGAGCTCATGCGTGACCGAATGACCGCCATCTTTTGCCTTTCTCTTTAAAAAAATATAAACAGGGCACAGAGCAGTTGAAACTGCCTAAGAATAAGTAACATGGAATCCAGATTAAAATAACAATAAAAACAAATTATTATATAAGATATATTTATCACATTTTAGCTTTTATATTTATTAATGAACTAGCTGTACACGCGACTTCGTCCGCGTGGAATTTAACTTTAATTTTCTAAAATAAAAGTAGCCTAAGTTACTCCTTATTACATCAGCTACCTGCCAATAAAAGTGCCGTTAAAATCCGTCCAGCCATTTCAGAGATTAACCGGAACAAGCCAAAGACAAAAATTGTAAAAAATGTTGTTTTGGTGTATGTACCGTATTTATATTCATATGCATGTAGTAAAAAACTGTTATTGCAATATTACAAACAGACACTATAATTTTATTTATATGTATAGATGTATAGATTAGAAAATAATAATCCTGGACATTCACACAATGCCTGGAAAGTCACAATACATTTTATACATAGAAAAGGTAGAAAAAGTGTGTTAGTAATGTGGACTGATGATCTTATTGCTAGCAATGTACCATGTCAGGTTGACCTCCACGCGGCTCTCCCTGGAAACCATCGTGATAAATTCCTGGTGAATTTGTCACGATGTGCTAACTGACCTGACCTCATGTTCATTTTATCATCCACTGGTGCCCCGCCAGCGTATACCGTTAGCGCAGGCGGGTGCACCATTACATTATCATCCATAAAAAAAATATACATAGAAAACACCCATATCGATACAAAGAATCGTAGTCATGAATACAAACGTTTGCATGCGAGGAATCGAACCCGCGAACAACAGTAATAGGACGGTGTGCTAAACTGCTAGACCACCGAGGCCTGTAATTTTTTTATGTCAAAATCTGTAGATAACATCCAATGTACAAATCTAAGTATCTATAACAACTCTATGGTTCCCGCCAATCGGTTTCTAGTCTATGGTCTAGATCAGTGATTGCCAAAGTGGTCTATATCGACCCCAGAGGTCTATGACAAACTGCAAGGGGTCTACGACAGTGGCCATCTTGTTGTTTTAACTTTATTTTTAACACTAAACTTTACTACAGTTAGAAATCTACAAAAAATCATTACCAGGTAAGAATTGGGGGTCTACCCAAAACCGAAAAATATGGTGAGGGGTCTACGACACATAAGTTTGGGATCTCTGGTCTAGATTGCAAGTGTAAAGTAAACCAGTTCGCAGTTGAGGTAGGTCTGAGGGAGATATGGGGTATAGCACGTCTAACGAGTTATTACGAGGTACCCAAAGTGCAGGCAAGACGAATGTTAAGATTGTATATTTTAATCTTAATAATAATAATCTTAGGATAATTCACACGCCATCTAGACAGGGGCGGATCTACCTAAGGGCTTTTTCGGCTGCAGCCCAGAGCCCCAAGGATACAAAGGACCCCCAGTCCCCACTGAAACGATATTTAGAATATAAATTATAAATAAATAAATAGCAGGTTGTAATTTAAATAGATATTATGTAAACTGGGCGAAATATAATGGTAAATATCAACTAAATGTGATGAAGGATTATCTAGTGATAAATAAAAAAAAACTTCCTCAATTTCTTTATTCACAGATCACGTGACTTCACAACTGTTTTTCATTGCCATCTGTTTCTTTAACTGAATTTATAATAATTGTCGACGGATTCCCACAGAGATCTGTGGAAATATTAGCCTGCGTAACTGTTCCTAAACTAGTATCACTTTGAAGTACTTTATCGGGCATTGTAACGTAATAACTGGTACTAGGTACCGGAACAGTAACTGAAGTATCGTTTTGATTGAGCATAGACGTTTTCATTATTAAATTAACGATTTCCATTTGCAACTGCATAAACTTTTCGTTCGGTAATTTCTTTAACAAACAACCTATGTATCTCAGGAATCCTTCTAGTTCATCATCGTTATCTATTTTAAGTTTCTTTTTACGTATTACAACCTCTTCGGACGAGGTGCTGTCGCGTTCCCGCCTTTTTTGCGATGTGAACTTCTTTAGCGGTTTCGAACTGTTCTTTTTGGGTGGAGATTTTTCTGCTTGTCTCTGCTCGTCGACGTAGATCACGTTACTAAATATGTCTTGTTCGTTTTCGTCGTCGCTGTGGAACGGCATGCGGTCCTCTTCCTATAAAATGAAAATAATATAGTTAATAGACATTAATATTAAATTAAAAAGTAAGCAATTGGTGATTTTAAAAAAATAAGGGATTTAAAAAATAAAACTTCTATCTAAATATATATAACTCAAAGGTGACTGACATAGTGATATATCAGCGCACAGCCCAAACCACTGGACTGAGAGAAGAAAGAAAGGATTTTGATTATTTCTACCCCCAAGGGGATAAATAAAATAGGGGATGAAAGTTTGTATGAAACTTTGTCAATTTTAAACCGATTGAGCTGAGACTTTGCTTGCACAAAGCTACTATGTCGTAGGCATCCCCTAAGAAAGGATTTTGATAAATTCCACCCCTAAGGGGATAAAATAACGCGAGCGAAACCGCAGCCAACAGCTAGTTATTTATAAATACATTGTGTAAACGTAATAAGAACGAAAATTGAATGATTATTATTTTAATTTGTAAATTAAATAAATAATAATTCATCGATACGATATTGAAACGTTTGTTAACTATCGTGTGACGCACCATTAATTAAAAATGGTAAAGTCAATAATCATGTAACCTGAAACGGAACGTCAGAGGCCAGAGCCAAAGTAATCTGTGTGACATTGACAAGTGGATGACGGATAATTGAACGTAGGGAGCGGGAGTTTTGGAGCGAAAGTGTTGATATTATTATAAAAACAAATAAGAGATAGGTAATTGTGAATATTGTAGGCATTGAGGTGTTTCTCTCCCTGACTAACCGGCATTACGCCTAAATCGTCAGGATACTAGTGATTTTAAAAGTTCAGAAGCGGTACCAATCCCGCCTACAAATTCTACCGTAAGGTAATTCTGACTAGAAGTTGTGGTAAGTGAATTTACGTTAATAACACGCATACCATTAAACGCAGTATCTCACTTGTTTTATTGAACTTTTGGATGAACTGCTTTCTACATATTAAATAGATTTAGTATGTACGATAACTTGCGAGAGTAATGACATGACATGTAGCACGATATTGTGGTATACAATATACCTAAGAAAGAAGTATTATGAATACATTAAGTATAAAACAACATGGATATCTAATTAGTTTAAAATACAGAGTAACTATTGTTATGTTATTAATGCCTATGATAGAGTATGATAGGATATCAACAGATTAGAAACAGTTACATTAACTATGTTGACATACAGGTTGAACATGAGAACACATACCATGTTATACATATAAACAGTGTAATGGTATTGCTGAGTTTGTTGCTAATTCACAGTAAATTAGTCAAACTTACTGTTCAGTATTGTGTGTTTGTTCTACGTGAATTGAATTGAAGAATTGTTATTATTTCTTTACATAGGTACACATATATGTTTGATGATCCCATTTCAGATAAATGACAATCACAGGCATAGCCCAGGTATATGTCCTGATTGTGGTTATATTCCCAAATTGAGATACTGTCATATATATATTATATTGGTTGATACTTTGATATGTGTTTATTAATTGAATTAATAAAGCATATTAATATAGATAGACACAGTATATTGTTGACATAAACTGATACAAGCTACATAACATGTTATATTTCATAATATTACATATTAAAGACATTTTAGATGCTATCTCATGATTAGCTGTGAAGCTCTCAGTGAAAATAGTACTTAACTCTGATACTACAATTATTATATTTATTTCTTGCTGTGTTTTGAATTTTATAAATGTATATGTATATATGTATATATATATAGCAATGGCTAACAATTGGTAGTAAACTCCAATGTTAAAAACCGAATAACTGTAAACTATTATTATTAATAGTTCCTTATTTAATTATTAATTAGTATAAAATCCAATTGAGATCTATTAGGATCCTCAAGGTTATCATAATCATATGATATTGATTATTAATGTGTTGAAAAAGCACCTAGAGATGATATCCAATTCCTCAAAGGTGTCATATTATGCTGGAATTATATATTATATGTATGCTCATATTGAATGTATTATATGTTTGAGCAATTGGTTCACTTCTTTGATGCTTCTCTTGAAATTCATTAGAATGGCCTTTAGCAGCCATTGTTGATCAATAAAGGTACTTAAAGGTCCTGTGCAGGTACCTGTAGCTATGTACATTTGTCATTTGTTTAGTAAGTGATTGTTGGAATTTATAAGCACCCAATTAATATGTGACATGTTAGAAAGTGATAGATTACAGGTAAGACTATTCTTACATGGTTCAGTTTTGTAAACTATGAAGTTGTCTTTTAACCTAAAGAAAGGCTTTTGGTAAAGCCAGAAATGAATGTTGTTGGCTGAATGATTGTATTATTGATTGTACAAGAAACCTGTTGAATTTTCTAAACAATACTTGAGCAACAAGTTTATCTTTAAATTTACTATTAGTGTTATGAATATGAATAAAAGTTTTTGGAAATAAGTTAATATTTGTATACATACAGAATGTTTGGATATATATATTGAGTCGCAACAGTGAGAGTATTTGCCTTTTGATGAGTTATAACTCTCCATACAGTAAATTGCACAAAATGTCATGATTTTATAATATGAATATGTACAACATAAGACAATTGTTATCACAATAATGAAAATAGACTATTGTAATATATTGCAATGTATTGCTATATTGTCCAATCTTGTGTACTGCATAAGCTAATGAACTGAAGATTTGCTGCAAGGATCTGATCTTAAGTTATCCATTGAGTTTTATTATTTAGTGTCATTTGTAGAATGACAGTACTAAGAAACTATAAAGTGGACAGATTCATTGTTAAATCTGTATTGGAATTGAAATGTCAACCAAGGAGGAAATCATAATTGTTTAAATTCAAATTGTATTATATATTTGTGAAGTACAGATAATAAAAAAAAAATAGAATATATAGAATATATTATTGAATCTTAATATAAATAAATGTATATCAGAAGATGATAATAACAGATTTAAAGCATTCATGAGTTAATAATGAACTCATCTTGAAGTTAGCACATGGATTGTGTCAAACAGTGTGGTCTAGGATTGTGAAATTTGGATAATAAACTTTATAATTCAGATATTATGACAGGAATATATAAGTAAAAAAAAAAGAAGAATAGGAAAAATCCTCAACATCTTGTGAACACAAGTTAATCACTGCAAATGTAACTTAGATTGAAAGTGAGATGTTGGTATCCGTTGGGATGAACAGTGATTCACAAGCACAGTATCAGTATAATTTATAGAAGAAAAAAAAATATATAAATAGCAATGATTCAAAAGAAGATTGTATCATATGTACAGGTATAAATACATATAGTAATGCCTAGTTAACATTTAAATAGTATTGTGATTGATTGGATTGTATGACGCCATATAATGAAATGAAAAATTTATAAGCCAAGAGACCAGTGATAGCCAAAGAATATATATATATATATAAGAAAATGGCAGAGACGACAGACAAAAGAAAAGTAGGACAGCAGAAAAAAAGATAAGCAGATGACATAAGAAAAAAAAAGGAAACAGCAGGAAAAGACTGGATGCAAACTTCCATAGGGAGAGACGTGTATAGTCAGTATGGACGAGCTGGTTTATGAATATGGATACTGGCGCAATTTATGAGATTTTTATATGGTTTACTGATGGATAATAAACTACTTTATGAATAGCATATATGTAGAATGAAAAATAAATACTGCATGGTCTAAGTTGTAAGTTTTACATGTTATAGAGAAGTATTTGTTGAGAAAATGTTTGCGAGCTGAGCCATTGTTGTTTAATTATAATGGTATTATAGTGAATACAAATTTAAGAAGCACAGGTAGTTAAAAGAAAAAAAAAAACAAAAGGACAATTGATTGTTGTTAAATGTATGAGCATTAAAGTTTTGAAAAGTGTACATGGGTATATTAGATTTAAGTTGAAAGGATCCTATTGAACCTATAACTGTTTTAAGAGACCTTTATATCCAATGCAAATAAAATGAGAGAGAATATAAGTTGTGGAAGTAAGGCTTAGGTAATTTAATCCCAGGAATATATAAGAAAAGTTACTAGAGGATATAAATGAAAGTTAAGATATAAGAAAGTTAAATATTGTTAAGGATTACAGTTTACAGTTATAAATTACTGTTGTAGATGGTTTTGCCAATTTTGTTAATTTCTAGTTAACCTTTGTTAAATCTTGAGATATTGTATCTATTAAGATTTTAATTGATTAAAAAAAAAAATAAAAGAGAATAATCGAAGCGTATAATGCTAAATTAACGAGCATGTAAGAATTGTTGGTATACATGTTGACTCAATTGACTTAACTTTTGACATAATTGTTGAGTTGAAGTAAAATAAAAGTGTTAACTAAGGCTTTTAATAGTGACCTCATCAACATATAAGAATTGATGTTGTCACTTGCATAGCATACGAGAACGGATGTATTAAATAAGTGAGGGTGTTTTAATGTTGAATTGTACAAAATTACAGGTGTAGAGATATTGGAAGTTTATAATAATAACGGTGATGTTGTTTTCAAATATTTGGTTGATATTCATCAGATAAATAAGATTGAATTCAATTTAAAGCGTTGTCTTTGACGACGACGGAAGTTAAAATTTTTATAAGTAATGATCAACGCAATCAAATGCTGGGCATTTGATTCCATAGATTAGTCTGAGCACCTATATGCACTTGTATGTGTGGCTGAACGCCCTTTGGAGAAATCGGATTGACTGTTGTACTAACGAAATAGTTTAAATTGAAATTAATCCTTTCAGAACTGATTTTATGTGTCTGGAATTTAAATATAACTAATGGCTTGATAACATGGTCTGCTAGTAAGCAGAAAGTTACAGCCGAATACGCAGAATATTTTAGAAAATGTGTTGTAATTAATGGGAAATTAGAAGAGGTGCTAATTTATAGAACCCAGACACCGTATACAGACACTTTAGAAATATTATGAATAAAGCGCTCGAGGTGTACAAGATAGTTACACTGCAAGATTGTAGTAAGGACGATCACAAGGTAAAATTTGATACACCTCGATGGAAAATAGTCGGTAAATATACGCGGTGAAGAGTTGTACATGAACGAATAGATCTGAAAGATTAAGGAATGCTAGTGATACAATGATGAGTTACAATCGATGACAAGCTGAATTATGAGCAAAATGGCTAATAGAACGGGCGGTTGATATGACAATGAAAATGATTTGCAATACTTCGATGAAATTATGAGATTAATATAATAATCATATGACTATGAATACGATTTATGGATTTTAAGGTAAATGATGGTGATTTAGATTTGATGATATACTGATGAGATGATTGCGCTGAGATCGCGGCTGATGATTCCGTATACGTTAGTTCACGGAGAAAATGGGGATCCGCGTGTGCTCAATGCGACGTACAACGAACGACTCGCTTGTTGTTGATGCTACTCAAGATTTGGTAGATAATAATAGGAGTAGGGTATGTGGTAGTAATATATTGCAAGTTCGTTCAGAAATTGATAGATATATATCAACCAGATATATAATTCGAATTTGGTACATAAATAAATTGAATTAACTTATGATTAAATGTTATAAAGTCCTTTAAAGCGTTGGAGAAATAGTAAAATGGAACCTAAAATGGAAATCCAGTTCTTAAAGAAATGTAATAGAATAAAAAGTAATAGTAAAATTTGATGGGAGTGCATATAACCCATAGTTGAGTTGCAATGTAGAGCACTTGAGGCTGAAGTAAAAATAGCATAGTACCATAAAGAATATGACTAGTTGGAGGCCGTAACTCCTTGCGTGCGCAAGCGGTGAATGCCTCATTGAGAAAATGACCAGTTGTTAAATATTTGATGTGTTTCAGTTGGAGGCCGTAGTTCCTTGTGGCGGCAAGCGGTGGCTGAGTCTAATGAGAATCTGACCAGTTTGAGGCCGTAGCTCCTTGTGTGGGCAAGCGGTGGCTGAGTCTAATGAGAATTTGACCAGTTTGAGGCCGTAGCTCCTTGTGCGGGCAAGCGGTGGCTGAGTCTAATAAAATCCAGATCTGTTGAGACCGTAGCTCATAGTGGGCAAGCGGTGGCATTTTTTTAATGTTTTGTTTTAACAGGTATTTCACTAATTAGCTAGGCAGCCGTGTTTGCAGAGATGCTGACTAGTACCTGGTGTTGAAAAATTAAGTGATACAACTTAAGGCGGAAAAATATAACAAAGACTGAATTCATGATGTTGAAATGTAATGTGTAGTTGTCAGTGGCAACTTTCATTACATTTTAAGTATGTAAATTATCTCAAACTAAATTTTATATGATTTTAATTTTATTATATTACCCGATGTTAACTGTTATGATAATATCGAATGAGGCCCTTCGATAACGTTGGATGGCCGAAGTGGCTACGAATACCATCGATTAAATATAAAGTGAATAGTAGGCTTACTAAACTCACGTTCGTTTAACGAAAGTTGGTAATTCGTTTTATGGAGATTGCGCAGGGTTTTGCAACGGACTCCCGGAGTCTGTACTCAATTTGCCAGAAAAAGAAATCAAATGTGTCATAAAATATTTTCTTTGTAAAAAAAAAAAAAGGCTTATTATAAAATTGAAGAATTTATAAATGTCATCATTTATAAATCAGTGTTTTTTTAGAAAATATCTAACTTGAAATTCATAGCGCTGTCAATGTTGTCTGATTGAACGGAGATTAAGTGCGTAGCGGTTTTTATGTTGATTGCCGCATGCCTAATTTTTGTTGTTAATTAAATATAAATAAATCAATATTTATTTATTCTTCTTGTGATGAAATTGCGTTCCGAATGAGCGATAGATTCAAAAAACCTGACTACTCAAGGGTGCTTGTGTTGAGTTTATTTGAATAAAGATTATTTCTATTTCACATTAATCTGGAACAGTGGGTTTTGGTTTATGTTAAACTGGTGTTGTAAAGAAAATTGAGATCAGTATCTACAATCATTTATAGTCCCCTAAATGTACAGGGTTCAAAGGGTGCAATAGATTACTTGACCAGTGAGCTGATGGTATTATTAAGTAAATCATAACTGAAATTCAATGAATTATGTTATATTAAAATAATTCTCTGGTAAATCAAGAGTATCGTCGAAGTAAAATAGTAGTAGTAGTATTGAGGGTATTAGAACCACTTGAATAATATTGACCTGTTATTTTCTATTGGTTAGGTGAAGGCAGGCAGCGATTTTGTTCTAATTTTATGTCACGAGAATATTACTTTCCCTTTATATTTTTTTTCTCTATATATGTAGGTAATTAAGTTTTACCTTTTGTAATGTGACATGTTAAATTTATCCGATAAAATATTCACGACGAGAAAGGTCAAGTTCTATTTTGGAGGTATAAAAAAAATGCAATGTTCATAAGATCGGAAACTTACATTGTGATGGTGATATGTTACAGTCTGACTCATAGAAGTCAATCACCGCCAAATAATTGTTTGTTACTCTAAAAGGTTGTTCATGTTTTTGGGTGATTTGGATTATGTAAATTAATATATGTTATGTTATATTTTCTGCATTTCTGAATGCATGCCGAAACTTAGCTCTGTTAGTATTGATTTTAGATTGTAAACCTTTGACAGTATATGAAGATAGTCAATGTTATGAAAGTAATGTGTATCTTTAGTTTATTTAGTTTAGTATTTGTTATATGAACCTGTAGACACTATATCCTTTGGTAAGCATGACTACGCTCATCAGTTACCTATGTGTCTGGGCCAGACACTATTGCAGGATGGCCGACTGTTAACTATCGTGTGACGCACCATTAATTAAAAATGGTAAAGTCAATAATCATGTAACCTGAAACGGAACGTCAGAGGCCAGAGCCAAAGTAATCTGTGTGACATTGACAAGTGGATGACGGATAATTGAACGTAGGGAGCGGGAGTTTTGGAGCGAAAGTGTTGATATTATTATAAAAACAAATAAGAGATAGGTAATTGTGAATATTGTAGGCATTGAGGTGTTTCTCTCCCTGACTAACCGGCATTACGCCTAAATCGTCAGGATACTAGTGATTTTAAAACGTTCAAGCAAAGAGCATATTCCTTTTTAAAAGGCCGACAACGCACTTGCAATTCCTCTGGTGTTGGTGCTCATGGACGGCGGTAATCACTTACCATCAGGTGAGCCGCATGCTCATTTAACCCGTGTTATAAAAAAAAATGTGGACTGAAGACTCAGTTATTACCAATGTCCCATGTCATGTTTATTTCTACGCGAAATTTCCCGAAAAACCATCCGTCTCAGCTTAACCTCCATATGGTTTTCGCTGTGTGAATTGTCCTGAGATTATTATATTGGGTAATTTTGGCTTGAACGGTTAGGCAGTGAAATTATAGGGTATAATAAAAATACCCAAAGATAATACCCACAGTGTTGGGAGCAATGGGATTCTTAGTAATGTAAATTATTGAACCCATTGCTTGCAATGTACCATCTCAGGTTGACCTCCACGTGGTTCCTCTAAAAACCATCGTGATAAATTCCTGTTGAATTTGCCACGATGTGCTAACTGACCTGACCTCATGCTCATCTTATCATCCTCCACTGGTTGACGACCTCGGTGGTCCAGCGGTCTAGTACACCGCTTTACGACCGATGGTCGCGGGTTCGATTCCTCGCACGGCACAAACATTTGTATTCATGAGTATGATTGTTTGTATCGGTCTGGGTGTTTTCTATGTATAATATGTATGTATTTACAAAAAAAAATATCTATGTACTTGTATCAGTTATCTAGTACCCATAACACAAGCTTTAGCTAGCTTAACTTGGGTCTAGATGGCGCTGTGTGAATTGTCCTAAGATTATTATTATTATTATTATTACTGGTGCCCCGCCAGCGTAAACCGTTAGCGCAGACAGCTGCATCATGCCATTATAATCCATAAAAAAATATATAGCAAAACAGCCAGACCGGTACAAACAATAGTCGAAACGTTCATACCGTGCAAGGAATCGAACCCGCGACTCGTTATTAAAGGTGAGGCTGTCGAAAATAAAATTACATATGGAATGATCTATGTAAGTGCTGGCGGAAGAATTACCTGTTCCTGATCTTGATCTCTGACCAGCTTCTGATGCTTCTCCTGCATGTGTGCTCGCTGCGCCTCCTCCCGCTGCGGGACCGAGGAGTGGCAGAGCACGCATCTCACGCGGCCACCTGTCTGCAGCTCGAAGTACGAGTTCAGGTCGTCCTGCTTCGAGGAGTTGTCGGATTCCTCGCCTGCGTGGAACAGAACTGACATGAGTGCTGTAGTTTTAGTTAATATGTGTATAAGATAATAAGAAAAAAGTTTCATACAAACTTTCATCCCCTATTTTATTTTACCCCCTTGAGGGTAACATTTTTACAACATTTGAATGTAATATTTATTTATATTTAATCAACAGCCTAAAAAATAAGTTTCAAGCTTCTATCTTTAAAAATGACAATGCTTCCATACAAACATTCATCCCTTTCAATACATCTACGTAGGTCGCAGTTCTACAGGTATTAAAACCTAACAATAGTCAAAACCCTTCAATAAAAAATTAAAAAATAATCTAAAGTAGTAGAGCAACGGGTATATATATATATATAGTTTCATATTCATTTCTTTTCTATCTGCAATCAGCCCTTCTGACTATAATCAGATTGTGTGGTGTTATGGGCATATGGACGGAAGACGCAGCGTGGGAAGGCCTCCAGCAAGGTGGACCTACGATCTGGTCAAGATCGCTGGAAGTCATTGGATGCGAGCAGCGCAGGACCGATCGTCGTGGAGATCTTTGGGGGAGGCCTATGTCCAGCTGTGGACGTCTTCCGGGCTGCGATGATGATGGGCATTTGGAGATGAGGCACATCCAGTGAGGTGCCATCTCATTTATTTTTTTCAGATGTTGGCAAGGCGAGCCCTTTTTAGCCTAGATGTTATTTGTGCTTAGTAGTTTCAAAGCTAACTGGTTCTTAGGGTCGGCTAATTTGTGTTTATATTTTCCACAGGCTGTCTGTATCTCTTCTTTTACAGTTGGCATTTCTAGGTATGTATGTACTTCTGTTTTATGAACTATATAAGTTGCAATACACTAGTAAACCAGTAGTCACGTTAGTTTAGGTACGGTAGGGAAAAAATTATAATGTAAAAACTTGACGTTCATAAGCGGCTAAAATGTCCTACATGGAATAAATGATTTTTTAATTTGAATTTGTTTATAAGCAAATTTCGTGTTATAAAACTTAGATACATTTTTTTTATGGACGATAATGGAATGGTGCACCCGCCTACGCTAACGGTATACGCTGGCGGGGCACCAGTGGAGGATGGTAAAATGAGCATGAGATCAAGTCAGCCCATCGTGACAAATTCATTGAGAATTTATCACGATGGCTTCTAGGAACCGCGTGGAGGTCAACCTGACATGGTTTAGATACATTCACATCGCTAGAAATAAGATCATCAGTCCACATTACTAACAATCCCCATTCCCTCCAACTTACGATATATTGGACTTTGAAATGTGATGTCACAATATTTGGGACCCCTCCTTTCCTTGTCATGACGAAATTTATAGATAACCCCTAACTGGAAAAAGGTTAAAAAAAATAAAAACAAATTACATATTAAAAAATATTTTATTTGTTACATCTCCACAGTTTCAATGACGGCCCCCTCAACTGTGACATATTCCTGACACGCCTGTTCCGTTTTGTGCGGCTGTTCCACAACTGTTATTTTATACCCGTTCCGTGTCTGCGTATCGGACGTCAGTTGCGCGTCGATGATTTGCTTAACAAAATCAGCCTGCAGCTGACTCGATACTTCTCTCGGTAACTGTTTCATTAGCGATATTAAATATCGGGCAAAATGTTCCAAACTGTCGTTATCCCGCGTCCGAAAGTGTCGTTTTCGATATCGTTCGTTGGAACTGTTACTTTTGTTACTGTTATTTTCATCGACATATATACGTTTTCGTTCCTTTTTTGAGCTGTCACTTAGTGGAACTACACGTTCGCGCGCTTTTGTCGATAGTTCGCGCCTTATTCTTTCTTTATTGTCTTTGGTTATGTTGTCATCGTATTCATTTAAAAACACTGAATCCTCGATATTAGTCTGAAATGAACGCAATTCTTATAAGTTATTTTTAAACATCCTTAATAAAAATGGAATATTAATCAAATTCACCGGTTTTCAATATCATTATTACATAGTATAAAACAAAGTCGCTGTCCCTATGTATGCTTAAATCTTTAAAACTACGCAACGGATATTGAAGCGGTTTTTTAATAGATAAAGTGATTCAAGAAGGTTTATATATATAATACATGGTGTTAAACCTACTATGAAACTGTGTGAAAGCTAGCGAAGATATCTTCGAGACCCTGAAGCCCAAGAAATCCGCAGAACCATACCGGTACGTGACTGACGCTTCCACCTATTTTTACCTATATATATAGAGAGTAAATTCCCTAACATTTTGGTAGTAGAGTAGTTTCCCAAACACATGGACACCAGTGCGAAGCCGGGACGAGTAGTTGATTATAAACGCAAATAGTGAAGTTATATTCCATTACCGCGCTATTTACTTTTTTTTTCAAATTTCGAAGTGACCGCGCCGCGGCGCCTATCAGAAAGAAGGCGATTTAAAAAAGTAAAAAGGCGGGAAAGTGTTGTAATGTACAATGATTTTTATTTGACATACCTGTTCGTCATCCACGTCTTCCCCATCTTTGGTCTCCTCAATTTCATACAATTGTCCATTACGGGATATTATAACTTTTTTCTTCTGTAACAATTAATTCGTATTAAATCTGACTGATGTACAAACTCGTCTGTGTGCAGGGATTTTATGGATATGAAATTTCGAATATAAGAATGATTATTATAGGACACAGTCACCTAGATAAATCAAAATAATAATTGCATTTAATAATGTCTAGTAAGACAAATTCAATATTGTCTACTAAGCACTGCTGTGTCTAAACTGTGTCACCCCACCTTACATTTTCCTATTGTTATTTAGTATATAAGATCATTATTTCTATGTACATATTGTCAGTTTATTATCATCTGTAACATACATCGTCTCGACCAACAACATCGTATCATTTACCCGCAACAATTATTATACCGGATACGGATGCGGATATGAAATTATTTCATCCTTATCTCATCCATGTGATCCTTACTAATATTATAAATGCGAAATTAACTCTGTCTGTCTGTCTGTCTCGCTTTTACGCTGAAACCACTGAACCGATTTAAATGAAATTTGGTACACAGATAGTCTATACCCTGACAAAAGACAGGCTTTTTAATGCGAAATAAAATTTGTAAGGGTTTGAAGGGGGATATGAAAGGTTATATGGAAGTATTGATATATTACGCAGACGAAGTCGCGGGCGCAGCTACTTATTTATATGTATGACCCGATGAACTTCTTATCACTTGCCTTTTAATATAAACTATATTAATGTAACCCATTTGTATTTTAGACCTAGCAGCTGTATAAAGGCATCATCAGATAACACAAGCTCTGCTTCGCTTGCAACTAGATGGTGCTGTGTGAATTGTCCTGAAATATGATTAAGTCAGTAATGTTAAAGAAATACCTCACTCAAATCTATATTAGGATGAGCTCTCCCTAAGTGTCGTTTTAAATTTGTCATCGACGTGTGGTACGACAGTCGCTTCTTGCAAATAAGACAAATAGCAACTTTCTTTACTCTATCCGTGCTTTTGAAATACGTCCATATTGTTGATGTCGAAATCGAGTTCGCTGCTGACCTGTGGACAAATTTTAAGTTACTTACAGTGCTTTCGCTTCCCAAAACCACCAATTTTAAATCTCTATGAACAAATTGTAGTCACGTCAGAAACGAGATAACTGTTTTATGCTTCGATACTTTTAACTAGTTTCATAACAGGCAGTGATGAGTTAACTGAACAGTTACAGTAGTATTTTAAAAAAACCCCCTAATTTAATTTAGTTACTACCGTTATAACTACTAATATTATAAATGCAATAGTACGTCAGTCTGTTCCTTATGCTTTCAAACTTCATATCTTTAATGTATCACATATATTATCCCAAATATACAGAACTGGTGAAAAGTATAAATGTAAAATTTAATGCGGTTCATTTTACGTTAGTTTCGAATTCAAATACAAAATATTATATTATGTAACATTGAACGTCAAATAGCATATTTAATAGAAAAAATATTTACATAATTCATTACTAACTACTTGCTGTAACCCACTGTAAGGTCTTTACAGCTTCACCGGACGATAAGGATCGAGTGCAGATGGGATTCCAAACCGCGGAAGAACTTATAGAGCAGCTACGACACCGGGGGCGAGGCAGATGGCACTCAAAACCAAAGGAAGGACTTATGGAGCGGCTGAAGGCAAACTCCCGCCTGACGGATATGACTTTAGTCTGAGGACAGCAAGGGTTCGAATCTCGTCTTAGGCCGTCGTAATTTCGACCACCGTTTGAATTGGACGGGGGGTCGATCGGAGAGGAAATAACGGACGATAGAGGGCGAGTACAGATGGCACTCCAAACCAAAGGAAGGACTTATGGAGCGGCTGAAGGCCAACTACCGCTTGACGGATATGACTTTAGACTGAGCAAGAGTTCGAACCTCATCTTAGGCCGTCGAATTTCGATCCCCGATTTGAATTGGACGGGGGATCGATTGGAGAGGAAATGATCAAGTTATCTTACTGGATACGTCGAAGGACTTATGGAGCGGCTGAAGGCCAACTCCTGCCTGACGGATACGAATTTAGTCTGAGGGCAGCGAGGGCTCGAACCTCGTCTCAGGCCGTCGTAATTTCGACCATCGTTTGAATTGGACGGGAAATCGATTGGAGAGGAAATGATCAAGTTATCTTACTGGATACGTCGAAGGACTTATGGAGCGGCTGAAGGCCAACTCCTGCCTGACGGATACGAATTTAGTCTGAGGGCAGCGAGGGCTCGAACCTCGTCTCAGGCCGTCGTAATTTCGACCATCGTTTGAATTGGACGGGAAATCGAGAGGAGGGGAAATGGCCAAGTTATATTACTGGATACGTCGAAGGACTTATGAAGCGGCTGAAGGCCAACTCCCGCCTGACGGATACGAATTTAGTCTGAGGGCAGCGAGGGCTCGAACCTCGTCTCAGGCCGTCGAATTTCGACCACCGTTTGAATTGGACGGGGGGTCAATCGGAGAGGAAATAATGGACGATAGCGGGCGAGTGCAGATGGCACTCCAAACCGCGGAAGAACTTAAGGAGCGGCTGAAGGACAACTCCCGCCTGACGGATACGACTTTAGTCTGAGGGCATCAAGGGTTCGAACCTCCTCTCAGGCTGTCGATTTTCGATCCCCGATTTGAATCGATAGGGAAAATGGGCAAGTTATCTTACCTGGATACGTCATTATCTGATTCGCTTTCTTCTTCAGGTTGTATGGCGATGGGATGCTTCCTTCTCACATGCTTCATGAGGTTGGTAACTGATGACATGTAGGAGAGACTGCCGCCGCATAATTTGCATGTTGCTATGTGTCTCTTGCTGTCTTCTATCTCGAAGTACTCCCACGCGACACTTACGTTTGGTCGTCTATTACTGTAAAAAACAAATGATGTTTACTCAAATTTTCCGGAGGTCGACTTTGAACGAAGTCGTTTGACTTTGTACAAAGTCATATGATTTTGAATAAATATATATATATCTCATATGTATATTAGAAACTAGATGTTCCCGCGATTTTGTCCGCGTTGAATTTAACTAGTTTTTTCTAAAATAAAAGTAGGTAGCCTAAATTAAGTACTCCTAATTACATCAGCTACCTGCCAAAAAAAGTCCCGTAAAAATCGGTCCAGCCATTTCAGAGATTAGCCGGAACAAACAGACAGACAGACAGACAAAAAATTGTTAAAAACATATTTTGGTATATGTACCATATTTATATTCATATGCATGTAGTAAAAACGGTTATTTCAATATTACAAACAATGACTGTCTGTAATAATGAAATATAGGTTTTGTTTTAATTTATTTATATATATATATATATATATATAGATAATATATGACATATACACAACAACACAACCAGCCAACCAAAACCAAACACACGCGAAAGTTTGTGAGTAATATTAGTTACTCAAAAAGTACTCGACGGATTTTGGTGAAACTTTACAGTACTATAGCTTTATACACCAGACAAATACATAGGCTTTAATTTAAGAAGAAATTATGTAAATAAATATATAACGAATGTCAAGTGATCATATTAAAAAATTTATTGAAAAATTAACGTCATTCTCGATGGTCTCATAAACAATATTTTATAATGGCTGTGGTAATCCTAAGAGGCTTTACTCGATATATAATATTTAGACATGATTTTACTTTAATATTAATATTTTTTTAATAGCAATAACCTCAAAAAAGTTCTAATATATCTATTATTATTTCGATTATATCGCATGCCTCTTACTTGATATAATTACATTAATTATTTATATAAAAAATCATCTATTAAAAAGAGCAACACACAAGTTTCTTGCTCATTCTTCTTGTGATGAGTCTGCGTTCCGAATTAGTGGTAGAATCAAAATATGCCTATTCAAAAGTGCTTGTAATGAGTTTATTTGAATAAAGATTATTCTATTTCTATTTCTATTGAGATTATTATATTGTAAATCTTACGCGGGATATTTTCACTATTAAAAAAATATACCAAATCATACAAACTTTCAATGTCTAGGACAGGACAGGCGAACCTTTATGCATCAACGTACCATTTTTTCCAAAAAATGTTTAATGGGGTCATTGAGGTGCCATCAAATAATTTTGACTTTCTGATTATTTGGAAAATAATAATAATAAATACTATCAAAACGCTCTATGAAATAAAGTAAACAAGAGATACATTTTGGATTGTTTTCATTACACGCATAAATTAAATTACTGTAAAATTAGTGTGACTTCTGTTGCAGGTTAGATGACAAATAATTTATGTCAGGCTTGTACGATGTTACTTTTAGCAAAATGCATGCTAAACTGGATTCATCTGTCAAACGGTTTCTAACCGAGTTTTTAATGTTGTTTATTTCTGAAAATAATGACTCGCAGGTATAGGATGAAAATATTGTTAAAATAGCATGAGCCAGCTTCTTCAAACAGTTTTATGATCGACGACGTGCCCAAAATATTGTGTCGCGTGCCGTCAATGGCTCGCGACATTGGTTCGCTACCCTGGTCTAGGAGAAAATATTCCCGCGTAATATGCAATAATAAATAATAATAACCTATAAATTTTTGAAAGTTATCTATGGGATAAAACAACTTCAATATCCGTTATGAAGAATTCCAACTAAGTATACAGCTATAACGTTGCTCGAATTTATATTTAAAAATATAATTTGAATGAAATAGGAACATGTTATAAGTACGTGTTATTTACAAAACAGTATTTGCTATTGACGTTTAATCTGTAGTGTAGTATTCAATATTTACAAGTTATAACGACGAAAATATTAGTTTAAATTAATGAACAATGTAAATACTCACATTTTCTTTGCTTCCAAAAAAACTTCATCAATTTCTTCGTCCGAACTCTTATCCAAACTGTTATTCTTGTCTTCGCTACTGTTGAAAACACATAATATTACAAATTCAAGTATTCTATTCTATCAAAATAATAAACAAACGTAAATAACAAGTATTTTGGAACAGTTAGTACCAGTACTAGATAATTTACTAGTATGTAACACGTACCTGGGCTCCATCTTGCACGCTTGAGTATCGTGTTTTTTTTATTAAGTGTTGCCCGCTACGATTAAATACTACCATAGATAAATTACTACTTGTATTGCTGATTATTGATGCTGTAGGCAATAATGAAAGAATAATTTATGGTAAATGTAAGAAATTAATGTAGTTATTATTGAAATAGGTTTTAAACATTCAGAATTAGTTATAACCTAGTATCTAGAGTCGATAAATTTTTGCCGCGCTACATACGCTTGCAATTGTCAATTTTAGAAGATTTGTAGTCTGTATTTTATTAGTTACTAACTACTCGCCCCGGCTTCGCACGGGTGTACATGTAATATATATATAAACCTTCCTCTTGAATCACTCCATCTATTGAAAAACACCGCTTCAAAATCCGTTGCGTAGTTTTAAAGATTTAAGCATACATAGGGACGGACAGCAGGGGCCTGTAACTTTGTTTTATACTATGTAATGATGTAGAGATTATTATAAAATAATATCACAGCTACATAATGCAATAACTGAATTATACTTCAGTTATTTAGTCGTCAGGTGGAATATTTTAAAGCATATTCACTCTAAACCCAATTCTGTTGAAGCTAACAGAATTATTTAGAGTGAATATGCTTATGAACAAGCAATTAAGATTATTTTGTAGCAATGAAATAACTTCTAAAACCACACTAAATATGGATTATTATTAATTATATCCTAGATATCGTTATATATATTAATTTAAAAAATTAAAAGAGAAACACGCAAGTCCCTTATTCCTTCTTGTGAGGAGTCTGCGTTCTCAATGAGTGGCAAAATAAAAAAATATGACTATACATTAAAAAGTGTTTATATTAAGTTTACTTGAATCTTAATAATATCATAAATGCAAAAGTTTGCCAGTAGGTGGATGGATGTTTGTTACTCTTTCATGCAAAAACTACTCAACGGATTTTGGTGAAACTTTACAGTAAAATAGATTATACATCAGAATACATATAAATAAAATTGGAGTTTGTAATATTGAAATAACCATTTTTTGCTACATGCACATAAATATAAATACGGTATATACACCAAAATAACTATTCTTACAATTTTTGTCGGTCTGTATTTTTTATTTCTTCGACTGGCAACACCGACGACAGTTGTCATTTTCAGCTGGCCGTGATAATAAATTTTAATTATCTGTTTGTTCCGGCTAATCTCTGAAATGGCTGGACCGATTTTGACGACACTTTTTCGGCAGGTAGCTGATGTAATAAGGAGTAACTTACGCTACATTTATTTTAGAAAAATAAAAGTTAAATTCCAAGTGGACGAAGTCGCGGGAACAGCTAGTATTCTATAAATTTCAAGATTATTTCTAACACAAAAAGAAAATTCTCTTTCTAAGAGTCACATAGATAAATAAAAGGGATATAAAAATAAAATTGCAAAGGTAATAAAGTTTTTTTATTATTGTGTTGACTCTGTTACAACAGTTTCTTCGCCCTGTACAGAGTCATCTGGTACGAATGACACCGGATTCTCAACCTGTTCCGTAATCGTGATCGTATATCCGTTACGACTAGTATTTCCTTGCGTATCCTTCTGCATATCATACGTCGATTGTGCAGTAATAACCTGTTTTACTATATCAATCTGCAGCTGATTCGACAACTCTTTTGGCAACTGTTTCATTAACGATACTAAATACTTACCAAAATACTCCAAGGTGTCATATTTATTGTTAACGTATCGTTTTTTGATCGAAACGGAACTGTTACTTTCGCTGTCAGAAATAACAGGTTTTCGCGCCTTTTCCGGCCGCTCGTATATATGATCTCGTATCTCATTTGGGCTGTTATTTTGTTTCAATGTAACATTTCCTTTTTTTCTTTTTCTGTTCGCGCTGATTGATATTTTTCTTTTATTATTATCAATAGGTTTTTCGTCATGTGAAATGAGTCGGTCCTTTTTTTTACTTTTCACATCTATATTACCGTCATATTCGTTCAGAAATACTGAGTCTATGTCAATAGTTTTCTGAAAAAAAAGTACTTTTTTTTTTAATAATAAGTTTGACACAGGCATAAATTTAAACAGCCCAATTTGGAAACAATTTTTAGCCTAGAATTAGCTTCTGATATTATTGAATTCGTGTTTCGACCTTAAGACAAAGGCCAGTGCGGCCTATAGCATTACAATAGAAAAACTTTAAATGTAAACAAACTGGGTCTTAAAATAAACAGTTAAGTTTCTTGGCAGTTCTTCTCAACTAAATCTGAACTGAACGCTAGGGAAAACTTTACGTTCATAAGTGACTAAAATGTCCTACATGAATTTTTTTTTTATATTTTTTTTAACGACCTACATGAATAATTTTTGTTTTTTTTATTTTTTTTATAACGACCGATTAAACTCTACCAAATATAGATTACTTACCTGTTCATCATCCTCAGTATAATCTTGTTTGTTCTGAAACAATTAAAAAAATACTAAATATCATCATTATTATCTATACATATAAATAAAATTGGAGTGTCTGTAATTTCTCTAAATCACTCCGAACTGACGGTAGATTTGACATATCATAAGAGTCTGTAATAGACCTACATAAATGAAGATATTTTGAATTGAATAATATTGAAATAACCGTTTTTTACAACATGCATATGAATATAAATACGGTACATACACAGAAATAAGATTTTTTTACAATTTTTGTCTGTCTGTTCCGGTTAATCTCTAAAATGACTGGACCTATTTTGACAGAACTTTTATTGGCAGGTAGCTGATGTAAAAAGGAGTAACTTAGGCTACCTAATTTACCAATTTTTACCAATTTTATTTTGGAAATTCTCTAATTAACGTTTTGTTAAATTCCACGCGGACGAAGTCGCGGGTACAGCTAGTGTAATAACAAAATTGGACAATAAAAAACTTAAATAAAAACTAAAAATTATTGGGGACAACTTAAAGAATTAAATATACATTCTTCTCAATTGGATCTATATACCGAACTGGACGGTAGGGAAAAAATTAAAATTATAATGTAAAAAACTTGACGTTCATAAGCGGCTAAAATGTCCTCCATGAATAAATGATTTTTTTAAATTAAATAAAAATTTACATACCTCGTCATCGTCCTCGAGTTGCTCCTGCTTCGTTTCATCGATTTCATACAACTGGCCATCATTTGCTAACATTAACGTTTTTGTCTGCAACAACCATAATGTTAGAGTATCATGGTCAACAGTTTCTTCTTCTATTCTACCATTATATTAATAATACATAGACAAAACATATCTCCCCTTTCAACCCGTATCTTCCCTAAAAACATAGATAAAACATAGGGGGGACATATTTTATCTATGTTTTTAGGGGTCGAAAGGGGAGATATGTTTTGTCTATTTATGTTTTTCTATCTTGTCCCTTTCAACCCCTTACCATCATGTACGCGAATAATTACATTCTAACATTATATGAAAACATATCTTCCCTTTCAACCCATATCTCCACAAAAAACATAGACAAAACATATCATCCCTTTCAACCCCTCACTATCATGTACGCGAATAATTACATTCTAACATTATATGAAAACATATCTTCCCTTTCAACCCATATCTCCACAAAAAACATAGACAAAACATATCATCCCTTTCAACCCCTCACTATCATGTACGCGAATAATTACATTCTAACATTATATGAAAACATATCTTCCCTTTCAACCCATATCTCCACAAAAAACATAGACAAAACATATCATCCCTTTCAACCCCTCACTATCATGTACGCCAATAATTACATTCTAACATTATATGAAAACATATCTTCCCTTTCAACCCATATCTCCACAAAAAACATAGACAAAACATATCATCCCTTTCAACCCCTCACTATCATGTACGCGAATAATTACATTCTAACATTATATGAAAACATATCTTCCCTTTCAACCCATATCTCCACAAAAAACATAGACAAAACATATCATCCCTTTCAACCCCTCACTATCATGTACGCGAATAATTACATTCTAACATTATATGAAAACATATCTTCCCTTTCAACCCATATCTCCACAAAAAACATAGACAAAACATATCATCCCTTTCAACCCCTCACTATCATGTACGCGAATAATTACATTCTAACATTATATGAAAACATATCTTCCCTTTCAACCCATATCTCCACAAAAAACATAGACAAAACATATCATCCCCTTTCAACCCCTCACTATCATGTACGCGAATAATTACATTCTAACATTATATGAAAACATATCTTCCCTTTCAACCCATATCTCCACAAAAAACATAGACAAAACATATCATCCCTTTCAACCCCTCACTATCATGTACGCGAATAATTACATTCTAACATTATATGAAAACATATCTACCCTTTCAACCCATATCTCCACAAAAAAAACATAGACAAAACATATCATCCCTTTCAACCCCTCACTATCATGTACGTAAATAATTACATTCTACCATTATATGAAAACATATCTTCCCTTTCAACCCATATCTCCACAAAAAACATAGACAAAACATATCATCCCTTTCAACCCCTCACTATCATGTACGTAAATAATTACATTCTACCATTATATGAAAACATATCTTCCCTTTCAACCCATATCTCCACAAAAAACATAGACAAAACATATCATGCCTTTCAACCCCTCACTATCATGTACGCGAATAATTACATTCTAACATTATATGAAAACAAATCTACCCTTTCAACCCATATCTCCCAAAAAAAAAAATATCAATAACATATCTCCCTTTCAACCCCTCACTATCATGTACGCGAATAATTACATTCTAACATTATATGAAAACATATCTTCCCTTTCAACCCATATCTCCACAAAAAACATAGACAAAACATATCATCCCTTTCAACCCCTCACTATCATGTACGCCAATAATTACATTCTAACATTATATGAAAACATATCTTCCCTTTCAACCCATATCTCCACAAAAAACATAGACAAAACATATCATCCCTTTCAACCCCTCACTATCATGTACGCGAATAATTACATTCTAACATTATATGAAAACATATCTTCCCTTTCAACCCATATCTCCACAAAAAACATAGACAAAACATATCATCCCTTTCAACCCCTCACTATCATGTACGCGAATAATTACATTCTAACATTATATGAAAACATATCTTCCCTTTCAACCCATATCTCCACAAAAAACATAGACAAAACATATCATCCCTTTCAACCCCTCACTATCATGTACGCGAATAATTACATTCTAACATTATATGAAAACATATCTACCCTTTCAACCCATATCTCCACAAAAAAACATAGACAAAACATATCTCCCCTTTCAACCCCTCACTATCATGTACGTGAATAATTACATTCTAACATTATATGAAAACATATCTTCCCTTTCAACCCATATCTCCACAAAAAACATAGACAAAACATATCATCCCTTTCAACCCCTCACTATCATGTACGTAAATAATTACATTCTACCATTATATGAAAACATATCTTCCCTTTCAACCCATATCTCCACAAAAAACATAGACAAAACATATCATGCCTTTCAACCCCTCACTATCATGTACGCGAATAATTACATTCTAACATTATATGAAAACATATCTTCCCTTTCAACCCATATCTCCACAAAAAACATAGACAAAACATATCATCCCTTTCAACCCCTCACTATCATGTACGCGAATAATTACATTCTAACATTATATGAAAACATATCTTCCCTTTCAACCCATATCTCCACAAAAAACATAGACAAAACATATCATCCCTTTCAACCCCTCACTATCATGTACGCCAATAATTACATTCTAACATTATATGAAAACATATCTTCCCTTTCAACCCATATCTCCACAAAAAACATAGACAAAACATATCATCCCTTTCAACCCCTCACTATCATGTACGCGAATAATTACATTCTAACATTACATGAAAACATATCTTCCCTTTCAACCCATATCTCCACAAAAAAACATAGACAAAACATATCTCCCCTTTCAACCCCTCACTATCATGTACGTGAATAATTACATTCTAACATTATATGAAAACATATCTTCCCTTTCAACCCATATCTCCGCAAAAAAAACATAGACAAAACATATCTCCCCTTTCAACCCCTCACTATCATGTACGTGAATAATTACATTCTAACATTATATGAAAACATATCTTCCCTTTCAACCCATATCTCCACAAAAAACATAGACAAAACATATCATCCCTTTCAACCCCTCACTATCATGTACGCGAATAATTACATTCTAACATTATATGAAAACATATCTACCCTTTCAACCCATATCTCCACAAAAAAACATAGACAAAACATATCATCCCTTTCAACCCCTCACTATCATGTACGCGAATAATTACATTCTAATATTATATGAAAACATATCTCCCCTTTCAACCCCTCACTATCATGTACGCGAATAATTACATTCTAACATTATATGAAAACATATCATCCCTTTCAACCCCTTACAACCCTTTTTTTATTTTATTTCATCAACAACCTAAAAATTAAGTTTTAAGCTTCTAGCTTTGAAAAGACAATACTTCCGTACAACCTTTCATCTCCCCTTTCAACCCTTTATTTATTTTATTTAATCAACAGCCTAAGAAATAGGTTATAAGCTTTTAGTTATAAAAATGACGATACTTGCATTCAACCTTTCATTTCCCTTTACAACCCTTTTCTTATTTTATTTAATCAACAACCTAAAACTAAGTTTTAAGCTTTTATTTTTAAAAAGGATGATACTTCCGTACAACCTTTCATCTCCCCTTTCAACCCTTTTTATTTTATCTAATCAAGCCTTTTTTTTTTTTTTTTCACGTCAGGAAAATCCATCATGGAGAACCATCCGCTTAGGGACGAATGGATACTGCCGGACTCCTACCTGCTAAAAACCTGACGACTGTTCCTCCTCGACATAATCGCCGTGGCCATGGGATACGCAAGCATTCACCAAGACCACCGGCATGGTTCCCATCGAAGGGACCTCCATCTAGGCGTGCAGGGAACAGTGTCTGCACGCCACCTCCAGACCCTAAAACCTCCCCGGCGAGCTTCGGATTGCCCTATCTAATCAACAGCCTAAGATATAAGTTTCTAGCTCCTTGCTTTTAAATTACGATACTTCCAGACAACTTTCAACTCCCCTTTCAACCCCATCTTGTAGACTGTCTACAGAATGAGATTTTCAAAAAGGGTATATTAAGGTTCCTTACTTTTTAGGCTGTTGATTAAATATAATAAGAGGGTTGTAAGGAGTTGTAAGGGGTTGAAAAAGGTTGAAAGGGGAGATGAAGGACTGTATGGAAGTATCGTTATTTTCAAAGCTATATACCTGTGATGTATGTATGTCCGGATGTATTCTCCGTATATGCGTTTTCAAATTGGCGGTAGTGGACGCATAGGAGAATTTTTTTTCACAGAGCAGACATATGGCCACCTTGTTGACTGGATCAATACGTTTGAAGTATTTCCAAAACGTGAACGGCTGTCTCAGCGTTCTTGGTCTAAAACAACAATAAAGTCAGTACAATACAAACATATATATATCTAACTAAATCCTTATCCTTACTAATATTATAAAAGCGAAAGTAACTCTGTTTGTCAGTCTGTCTCACTTTCACGCCAAAACTACTGAACCGATTTAAATGAAATTTGGTACACATATAGTCTATAATCTGAGAAAGGACTACTACTACTACTTTTAAATCCGAAAAAAGGGTTGTAAGGGGTTGAAAGGGGAGATGAAAGGTTATATGGAAATATCGACAATTTACGCGGACGAAGTCGCGGGAACATCTAGTATCTCATAAAAACTCGTCGGTTAAATAGAAAAATGTCAGTATTCAAAATGTACATTTTCTACAAGTCTAGTTTTTTTTTTTAATTTATTCAAATATTTTTTTCTTTTAGTTTTAAATTTACACAAGTATTATATATCACTTTAAAAGTATTTAGATAATGATTAAGACAGGTATGTAACATAGAATCTTATAGATACATCCTACAAACAAATAATATATATTTGACTAGCTGTTCCCGCGACTTCGTCCGCGTGGAATTTAACAAAAAGTTAATTAGAGAATTTTTGTAAAATAGTAGTAGGCTAAGTTACTCCTTGTTACATCAGCTACCTGCCGAAAAAAGTCACATCAAAATCGGTCCAGCCATTTCAGAGATTAGCCGTAACAAACAGACAGAAAGACAGACAAAAATTGTAAAAAATGTTATTTTGGTGTATATACCGTATTTACATTCATATGGTAGGCACTGTGTGCGAGGAATCGAACCCGCGACCGTAGGCACACCGCTAAGCCACCGGGGTTATCACAAAACTCCTAAATACCGTTATACTCATAAATACAGCGTGCGAGGAATCGAACCCGCGACCGTAGGCACACCACTAAACCACAGGGGTTATTACAAAACTCCTACACACACATACACACAAATATTTACACCGTGCGAGGAATCGAACCCGCGACTAAGTCACACCACTAAACTACTTTACATACTCACTTCCTGACCTCCACATCGGAGTCACTATCATCATCAGACAGCTTCCCGCCTCCCTTCAGCACCCGGACTCCTAAGCCATTGGTCACCTGCTTCATTCCATGAACCCTCTTCAGATGGTTGAGGAGGTTCGTGGTCGTGGACCGGTAGGAACAGGTGGTCCGGCATAGAGAACACGTCGCGACACGCCGGAAGCGGTCCGTTATCCGGAAGTAGTCCCATGCCGCGCTGGAGTTCGCTCGTCTATGTCTTTTAAAAAAAAAAAAAACATCAACATTTGCAATCAGTATGTCTTTATAGTGCGTGCTTACTACATCAGCGACCTGCCAAAAAAAGCCCGTTAAAATGGATCCAGCCATTTCAGAGATTAGCCGGAACACGGATAATTTAATAAAATTAGGTAACTACAACATGGAGCGGTTTGTTTCTCTTACGGATAGATGTCACTGTAATTCACCAGAGTCTGATAACTATATCCAACCGTCCCACCATAATCAGTTGAACATTGATATCTCATCCGTCACGGAACCAGACGTTTCATGTTTACCCACACGAAACAGTACAAAAGTAAATAAATGCAGCACTGTACATGAAACCATCAGGAGAACAATTATTTATTCAGATGAATTTGGCAAGGATTTAGGTAATTTATTATCGAACTGTCTCTCGCAACAAGTAATAAATAATTGTTTTCCGGGATCAGGTATATATAAGATTATAAGAAATATAGTAAATGAAAAATATGATATTCACACGACCCTAGTAATAGCGTTAGGGAATTGTTTGCATATGCGTAAATCTGATATAGTTAATTTAATAAAATCATTATATAATATAGTGGAGCTTGGTATAGGTAAAATATTATTATGCGCATTTCCCTACTCTGAATCCCTGACTAATGAACAGAATAAGTTCATTTATAGTATAAATAATTTAATTTATTCGATGACATATCATTGTAATGATATATTTTATTTTGAAAGTAACAAATTTGTTACAAATTATTATATGACGGGAGGTAATTTTTATCTTCCTAAAAAACAAAAAAAGACTATTGCTAGTTTACTAGCGTATAACATTTATGATCCCATTATAAGTAGTATAACGGATTTAATTAGTAATATTAGTAATTATACTAATAATGTGACATGTGTTAATTTAAACTAACATCTACGACATTGGTTAAGCCACAGGATATGGTCATTATTCATCAAAATATTCGTGGCTTCTCCAGCAAAGAATTAGAATTAAGTCTTTTCTTAGAATCTAACAATGTACGGGTGTTATGTCTGACAGAACATTGGCTTAAACAATATGAAATAATTTGTCCTTTTGAACATTATAATATGGCTAGTTTTTTTGCTAGGAACAATGCCATTCATGGCGGGTCAATTATTATTTTAAAAAATGATGTAGAATATAAAAACCGTCAAGACATTGTAAATATTTCTATTGAGCAAACAATTGAACTATCTTGCGTAGAATTAGTTACTTGTATAATAATTTGCGTTTATCGTCCGCCATCGGCTTGTTTTGATTCTTTTGAACTGGCTATGGAGGAAGCATTGAGACGAGTCGCACGGAGGAATAAAACATTATTTGTATGTGGCGATTTTAATGTTGATTTATTATCGGAATGCTCAATAAGCTTAAGATTGATTAACTTATTTAAATCATTTAATTTACACAATCTTTTTTTAGAACCCACTAGGGTCGCAGGCAATTCTGCCACTTGTATAGATAATGTTTTTTGTAATTGTGAAGTAAAGGTGAAAATGAATTTCGACTGTCTTGGATCTGATCATTATGGACAAAAAGTTATAATTGAAACTAAGGGATCCAAAGGGACTCAAACAATTACATGCAGACAAATAACACAAAAGAATTTGGCACGTTTTAAAAATAAAATTGAACATAAAATATCTAGTGTCATAGTACCTCAATATGACCCGGACATTGTATGTGAACATATTTTTAATTTAATTGAACATGAAGCTAGCAGTGAATTTAAAACAAAAACCTTTTCAACTAGTGTTAAATCAAAGTTTTGTGACTGGGCCACGTTTGGTATTTATAAGTCTAGGGCTAATCTTTACGAACTTTACGAAAAACGAAGCTATATATCCGATCCCTTATTTCATGAACATGTAAAATCTTATTCGAAAATATTTAAAAAGGTTTGTCATACAGCTAAGTCTCTCTATTTAGGTAAAATAATAACTAAATCTAAAGATAAAATAAAAGCCACTTGGAAAGTAATAAATAGCGAAACTGGAAAAGTTAATTTTCAAAATAGCAAAATAGCTTTAAATATTAATAACAAATTGGTAAATTCCGACACAGAGGTCGCGGATACATTCGAATCTTATTTCACTAATATTCCATTAATTACGACACAGGCTCTAAAATCTTCCCCGTCTGCTGCTGAAACTTTACTAACAGACAATGTTAGCAAGTCATCAGCTGTATTTAACTTTAGACATACATCATCAGTAGAAATAATGAAAATATTCAAACAGCTTAATAATAAAAAAACAGAGGATCTATGGGGTATATCTGTTAAAATACTGGATAGTATAATGGAAATTATTGCGCCCTCTCTTGCTTTTATTTTCAATAAATGTATAGATGAAGGTAAATTTCCTAACATAATGAAAATTAGTAAAATCATACCGCTTTTTAAATCTGGAGATAGGAGTGACCCAATAAATTATAGACCTATATCTATACTCCCAGCACTCAGTAAAATTTTTGAAAAAATAATCCTTATGCAGCTTGTCAGTTATTTCAATTTAAATAATTTAATCCACAATAGTCAATTCGGTTTTTCCAAAGGTCGTTCAACTACAGACGCAGGTGCAGAGTTGCTTAGACACGTATTTGCTGCATGGGAAACTAAAATGGATGCGATAGGTGTTTTTTGTGACCTTTCTAAGGCTTTTGATTGCGTTGATCATAATACATTGCTAAAAAAACTTGCTTTTTATGGCGTCAAAGACAATGCTTTAAATTTAATAAAATCTTATCTATCTGATAGAATACAGAAAGTGAAGGTTAGCAACGCTACGTCTGACGGGTCACTTGTGCAAATGGGTGTACCTCAAGGATCTATTCTCGGTCCATTTTTATTCCTAGTTTACATTAATGATCTCCCATATACCATGCAGGATAGATGCGGCATAGTATTATTTGCAGACGATACTTCATTGATTTTTAAAGTTAATAGAATGACTAATAATTATGACGATGTAAATAGTGCTTTGCGGCGTCTCCTGCACTGGTTTACAACTAACAATCTTATGTTAAACGCTAAAAAAACAAAATGTGTTAATTTCTCTCTGTCTAAAAGTTTTAATACTAATTGCAATATTAAATTAAATGACGAATCTCTCGAATTTATAGAATCTACTGTCTTTCTAGGAATCACACTAGATAATAAAACACAATGGGGTGCACAAATTCAAAGCCTTGCAGCGAAATTAAGTTCAGCAGCTTTTGCCGTGCGTAAGGTTAGACAGTACACCGATACTGATACTGCTAGATTAGTCTATTTTAGTTATTTTCATAGTTTACTTTCTTATGGAATATTACTATGGGGAAAAGCGGCAGATATTAAAAATATATTCATATTACAAAAACGTGCCGTTCGAGCGATCTACTGTATGAAGAGTCGTGACTCATTAAGAGAGAAATTCAAAGAGGCAAATATTCTCACCGTTGCTTCTCAATTTATATATTCAAATATCCTATATGTTCATAAAAATCTTGACTTATTTCCAAAAAACAGCAATATTCATAATATTAATACAAGATTTAAAGACAAACTTGCTGTCCCCAAGTATCGTTTAGAAAAAGTTAATAGGTCTTTTATGGGAATAGGTATAAAAATTTACAATAAGATACCAAAGGATATGTTGGAATTACCCTTAAATAAATTCAAAACATCTGTTAAATCATATTTACTGAGCAAAGCCTATTACTCACTAAACGATTACTTGAATGACGAGTGTGCATGGCAATAGTTGTTCATGCACTGAATTTTCATTTAATGTTAGACATAGACACCTATATAAATATACATTGTAAATAAACTGGTTTAAAAAAAAAAGTAATTGAATTGAGTTTCTTGCCAGTTCTTCTCAATTGGATCTATATACCGAACTGGACGGTAGGGAAAAAAATAAAATTATAATGTAAAAATTTGACGTTCATAAGCGGCTAAAATGTCCTACATGAATAAATGATTTTTGAATTTGAATTTGAATTTGAACAAACAGACAGACAAAATTTGTAAAAAAAAATTTATTTTGGTGAACGTACCGAATTTATATTCATATGCATGTAGTAAAAAACGGTTATTTCAATATTACAAACAGACAGTCCAATTTTATTTATATGTATAGATGTATAGATTAGCTTATCAAAGATATTTTTTTTTTTACATGAAAGGTATTTATGTTCTAGTTTCAAAAATGTCAATTTTAATACAAACTTCCTTTTGCTATTTTATTTTACCCCCTTAATTTTTATATTCAATCAGCTACCAAAAACATATATATTCATATATATAAACACATATATTCAATAATCAAAAACATATATTCAAATAAATATAAATAAATTACTTATAGTACACTTACTGATTTGCGGGCATACAAGCAACAGAAAAAATCAAAAATTATCTAATACCCATAATACAAGCTTAGTTTAGGACTAGATGGTGCTGTGTAGAATAACTGGAGATATTGTTATTTTTAATGTTAATTCATTAACAATAATAATGTTGTAATAGAAAAACTTAAAATCCATAGCGCTGACAATATTATCTGATTACACTAATAATGAGTGCGTAGCGATTTCTATGTTGATTATCGCATGCCTCTTACTTGTTAAACTGTAAATATTTATATAAAAATAAAACATATAATAATAAAACAAGTTTCTTGCTCATTCTTCTTGTGATAAATCTGCGTTTTAAATGAGTGGTAGAATCAAAATATGACTCTTCAAAAGTGCTTGTAATGAGTTTATTTGAATAAAGATTATTTTATTTACATAGATATTAGAGTTTATATTTTATTTTTAATAGACTCGCCCGCTTTGGAAATCTGTCGCCAAAGTTGGGACATTAAGCTAATCATCATAGACCAAAAATATTTGATTCCTCATGACGATAACCCGGTAAAAATTATTTTTTTATTTTAAGAACTGGTTTGGAAAACAACTATTGCAAATCGAATCAGTACATTTTCATAGAATAGTGTATCTATAGGTGCTTAAAAAAATTAAAACAACTAACCTATTATTACTTAACGAAACTAGTGCAATGTAAATGAGAAAATATAACGATTTTTATAATTCTGTGTATATATTACGAACTGGGTTGGAAAACAGCTGTTCCAAATCGAATCAGTACATTTTCATAGAATAATGAATCTAAAGTTTCTTAAAAAAAGTAGAACAACTAACCTATTATTTCTTAGTGAAACTACTGCAATGTAAATGAGAAAATATAACGATTTTCATAATTGTGTGTGTAATAATTTGAGGTTAGGTTTTTAATATTGCAAATTCAATACTTACAGTCTTTCTTCTAAATAATTTGCGTCCTCATTTTCTTCATCTGTAGTTGTGGCAATATCGTTTTCTTTACTAGTCTCTTCATTGCTGAATAATGAAATAACGATATTTTATAATATTCATCGTAAATTTTCATGTCTTCCATAATTTACAACACAATATTTAAACACCATCTTTTCTGTTGTATATAAACAAAAACTCACAATAATATTTTCATTCAGTAAACAAAGTTAAATAACGAGTAACTATAATAACAGATTTTGAAACTGAAACTGTATTCGGTTTAACTTTTACAAAACGAGACGCGTACTTACCTCGGTGACTCCATCTTGGTAGTTTTGTAACGCAGTGTTGCACGCTTTCAAAATATTTGGATTTATTTATCGTTTTCGGTAAATAAAACGAAATCTTCCTTCTCATAATGGAGGTGTAAGTTTTAAAAGATGTTTATATATTTATTGCACAATTGTGCTAAATTTGCGATTGAGTAAAACGTGTACTAAAATAATGCTTTTTAAATAATAATCAAAAGTTAACACTTGTAGCCATTTTTTAGGAATGTAAAAGCTAAAAGTATTGAAACAGTTACTGTTAATAATATATAAAAATATATATAAAAATAACGAGGCACGGGGCACCAGTGAAGTATAATAAGATTAGCAAGTCAGGTCAGTCCGCTCATCATAGCGAATTTACCAAAATATGTCTACGATAGTTTCCAGAGGAGGCGGCGTGAAAGTCAACCTGACATGGTACATTGCTAGTAATGAGACTACTATTCTCATTACTAACAATCACAAACAACACATTATTTTTATTTAATGTTGTAACTAATCCTGAATAATGTTTAGATTATATATATTTAAGTTTGTTATTGTCAATTTATATGTTTACTTTGTTAGTTGTAGTTTAAAACTTAATATGCTATCGTCGCCGTTGATCTCACATTGTATTTTACAGATAAAGGCTATAACAGAATAGCAGAGAGGGTGGACTCACCGCCCTCACTGAGTTATAGGCCGTTTTGTCTCATTCATTCGTTTTAAATTATATTATTCTATGGGCAATAGTTGTATTGTGTAAAAAGTTTCTGTTTGAGACAAATAAAGATTATTATTATTATTATTACAAACCTGAACATAGCTTCTAAAGCAAACTGCTGAGTGACATAAATGAGATAGAAATACGCAGACTTTGTACAATCTATATAGACTACTAGCTTTTGCCTGCGGCTTCGCTCGCGTTAATTTATCCCCTTAGGTATGCAATTTATCAAAATCCCTTCTTAGGGGATGCCTACGTAATAGTAGCTTTATGCATGCAAAGTCTCAGCCCGATCGGTTTAAAATCGACAAAGTTTCATAAAAACTTTCATCCCCTATTTTATTCCCTTGGAGGTAGAAGTAATCAAAATCCTTTCTTAGCGGATGCCTACGTCATTACATCTACCTGCATGCATATTTCAGCCCGATCCGTCCAGTGGTTTGGGCTGTGCGTTGATAGATCACTATGTCAGTCACCTTTGAGTTATAATGTTAACTAATAACCCTATTGCAAGCAATGTATTAAGTCTGGAAACCATCGTGGTAAATTGCCCTTTCTACAAATCCTTTATCTTATATAAATACCCCTAAGTGATAAGTGTTGTCCACCCCTAACATTTTTTTTTTAATTTTGTGCAAATTTTTTTATTTATATATGTTTATTATGTGTCATTAAAAATACATACAACCCTAAATTTTCACCCTTCCATCACCAACTCCTATTTTTTTATAGCGTTATTAATTTATATGGCATAACAATGTTTGCCGGAACACCTAGTCATTTAAATAAAAAAAAACACCTACACGTATTTTAATAGTATAATTCTTCTAAATCGTTTAAAATAATGTAGCAACGTCATACACTACAATTAATGTAGATAACAATTTAATTCTAGGAAATCTTAGTTCCGTTTCCTTGTATTTATACGTACTGATTATATTTATTGAGTGTAACGACCATGTGACGCATACAGCTATATGACGTTACGGTTGCGATTGTTGCGAAGTACCTACGCGCGTTCCAAATACGTCATGTCATTGGATTGTACACGATATTTACGTCACCTCACTACGCTACATATATAGTAATACTAGCTGTCACGGCAAATGTTGTATTGCCATATAAATTAATAACGCTATAAAGTTTTTAGTGAGTAGAAGTCTCACAGCACAAGCGGGTAGCTTGTCTCCCCCGGGGCGGGCGGGTCTCCATGATGGATTTTCTCCAAGTAAAAAAAAAGGGGTTGTGAGTCGGGCAACCTCCTCGTATGTTCCAGCCATTGGGAGGCTTCCCCATCCTCGTGGATACATCCGCGGGGAACGGTGGGCGATCAATGGTTTAGTTCTGGTACGCCCTGGGCGGGAAAGTAGTCGTTCCTTCGGGATATTGCTACTATGTCGCAAGGGAGGCGCAGGCTGAGACAATGGGCCCAGGTGGGGCCCGTCCCGGCCGTTAAGCGTCGCGTTGGTGGCCCGCTCCTGCTATGACTCTACTCTTGTAGACACGTGTGGAACGGGCGCGGCTATGTGTGGGCGGCAGTCTCAGGGGTTCAAGTCTGCCGTCCACACTACAGGAGCCGGGATGGGGGTGAGGCGCAACCCGTATTCCGTTGCGTCTTTCCGGAGGAGGGAAGACGCAACGGAAGGAGGGAGGGAGGGCGGAGGCGGGGGAACTGGGAAGAGTTCCCCCCACGCGTTGATGAGGGCTCACTTGCGGGCAACTGCCGCTTGGGTCACAGTTGATTGCCAGCTCGATCCTGCGACCCTGGCACTATGGTGGCGAGGAGGAATATCGTGGGGTTTTTGGTGAGTAGGAGTCTCACAGTACCCGTCCAACTCCTGAAACGGCCGTTTCTCCATATCCCCACGTAAAAAAAAGGGGGGATGTGATATGGCCACCCGGGGATTGTTGGCTCCGGAGTAGATGCCGGGCCATAGGGGCCCGCTCCGACCCAACCTTTACCTCCTTATCAGGAAGAAGAGAATAAAGGTATCACGGATACCTCCCTTATGGTGGGGGGAAAGATTGTTAGTAATGTGGGTTGCTAACCCCATTGCTAGCAATGTGCCATATCAGGTTGACCTCCACGTGGTTCCCCCTGGAAAGCATTGTGTTAAATTTCTGATGAAATTGCCAGGATGGGCTAACTGACCTGACCTCATGTTCATCTTATCATCCTCCACTGATGCCCCGCCAGCGTAAACCGCTAGCGCAGGCGGGTGCACCATTCCATTATCATCCATAAGAAACCTCTCTGATGGCCAATAATATATTTTTTAATATGCTATTTTAATTTAGAAGTGAATCATCTACAAATACTAATTTCGTACGTAATACAACAGGAACGCTGTAAACAAGATTTCGTTTTGGTATATTTAGAACTTGAAAGTTTCTGATGCGAGGGCGGTGCGTTTGGATCGCGCCGTAATCTGTTAGACGTTTTGGCAATACCACCACACCAATAATAATAATAATAATAAATAATAATAATATTTATTCATGATACACATTTACATTTTAATTTACTGTAGTTCTACACTAGGCTCGCAGGCCTGTATTGTAGAGACTGGAGTGACTTATTATTGTGTTCATTTTACACGTTTACCCTTTGTATTAATAGCTATGGGACTTGTGTGTAAAATGTAGGGAATAAATTTGTGGATGTATAATCGAAAAGGTGAGCATTGGTGTGAATGAGAGTGTGTATGTATGAATATATATGTGTGTGTGTGTGTGTGTGTTCAATTTGCAGAACTGTGTGTTAGCCGTAAGGTGGAAGTATTTGTTCTGTATCGTCATAATTTAGTTTCATCAGCCAGCATTTTGTAGTTTTTTTGACTTGATGCATGGATAGTTTTGTAATTGTGCATTTCTTATTTACATAGTTATATATGTACGGATGGGAAAACAGTACACAATATACCACAAACTCCTCGAGTGGTGGTCATTATTCATTTATTTAATTATTTATTTATTCACATCAAACTAAGTGAGTCTTACTTCCCAATAATCCCAAAATCCTAATTAATAATTACAAAAAAAAAATTTTTAAAATTAAGTTTGACGACCTCGGACCTGTCTAGCGGTCTAGCACACCTTTACCGATGGTCGCGGGTTCGATTCCTCTCACGGCACAAACGTTTGTATGAGTATGATTGTTTGTATCGGTCTGGGTGTTTTCTATGTATAATATGTATGTATTTACGAAAAAAACATCTATGTATTTGTATCAGTTGTCTAGTACCCATAACACAGGCTTTAGCTAGCTTAACTTGGGTCTAGATGGCGCTGTGTGAATTGTCCTGAGATTATTTATTTATCAAACTACTTAGTTTGATAAATAAATAATCTCACTTGAGACTTACAGCTTCCCAATATGCTCACTTAGGAAAAAATTTACAAAATATGAAATAATAATAATTACAATATATATATATAATAATAACAACCGACAAATTTATATATTATTTAGGAAATCCATTGCATTTCTGCTAAAATCCAACAAGTTACTTGTAAATATGTCCAGGTCAAGAAATCGATTAGCGTCACCGTTAGGAATTTTTTTATGGATGATAATGGAATGGTGCACCCGCCTGCGCTAACGGTATACGCTGGCGGGGCACCAGTGGAGGATGATAAGATGAGCATTCACCAGGAATTTATCACGATGGTTTCCAGGGGGAACCGCGTGAAGGTCAACCTGACATGGTACATTGGTAGTAATGGGGTAATGAGTCCACATTACTAACAATCCCCTTCCTTCTGACAGCGTTGGGTAGACTCATGTTGGATAATCGCGAATCTATACGTATAAATAAGCGGACCAAGTCGCGAAGCCTAAGTTACTCCTTATTACATCAGCTACCTGCCAAAAAAGTTCCCGTCAAAATCGGTCCAGCCATTTCAGAGATTAGCCGAAACAAACAGAGAGATAGACAAAAATTGTAAATAATGTTATTTCGGTGTACGTACCGTATTTATACTCATATGCATGTAGTAAAAACGGTTATTTCAGTATTACAAACAGACAGTCCTATTTTATTTATATGTATAAATGTATATATAAGGAATTAGTAAGGATTTCAATGATATATAGCCCAGTGTTATATATGTAGGATTGTAAGTATAGCAAATTCATTTCCCATCAAATTGACCGAGTCATTCAACGATACGATTTTAATAACACGTGTGGCAGCACTCCAAATTGTATGATTATGTGTTACGTGGATTATACAAAAGTGAGGTAGGTAAGGGAACACTTTGTACAAA